AGCTTCGTCGTGACAGAAGGGGCTGCAAGGCAAGACGAGTGTGCCTGTGAAGTGCCCAAATGAATAACAGCAAGGTCAAGAAACGGCTCCCATTCCTGGATGGGTTTTTTTAAAACCCGCTTTTATTAATTGTAAGTAATACAAATATTCCAAAAATATAAACAGACACTTAATGGCGTCCTACATTTCAAGTTTTTGAATACAACAAATTTATCAAACCATGAATCTGTAAGCAAGGTAGTCAGAGTCCCATAGCCCAGTCACAGTGGGAAGCAGACGCCCTGCCCTCCAAATGGCATCTTGAGGGGGAAAGTGGCATGACCTGGAATGTGTCAAACTTGGGATACTATACGCAAAGCTCAAGGGGCCCAAAGAGGGTCTGCTCTGGGGCCCACCCCTACGGCGGGCACGGGACAGTGGGTCAAGACCTCCGCCTTCCCTCCCCTGCTCGAATGCAAATATTTATTGGCATTTTAAAAAAGAGAAAGATAAAACGAACTCCATTTTACAAAAAATGACTGAGGAACAGAGTGGTAACCGATTGAAGACCTGAAGGGGGCAAATAGGCTTACCTTCCACAGACACTTGGCCTGGCTGGGAATGGGAGGGAGGACAGCCTTCCCTGGGGGCTGCCCTACTGAAGGAGGCCTCAGGAACAGGGTAGGGGGAGCAGATTTAAATGGGATCCATTTCCCAGGGAATGACTGCTTTTCTACACTTCCCATGCTTTTAGCACAAAGATGCTTCTGGGCCACTGTTTATAGAGGTGAGTTTATACATTTACAAAATGGTCAAAATCTTTGGGAGGCAGGAGGAACTAAACGGAAGGTCCCAGGTTAACTGAAGGCAAATGTACTCAACCTCTTTATAGTAAGGGACCCCTGGGCCTACAGAGCGTCCCCTCTACAATGTGCAGAGTGACAACTCTTACCTTGACCGTTTCCAGACTGGTCCTGTGTCCAAAGCTCCCCCTATGAGAGGGACACGAACATCAGGCTTTTGATTTAGAAGCCCAATCAGAGAGACACAGTGTGTCCCTGAAGAGGCACCTTAAAGAACTGACCCTGGCAGTTGGGCAGGTTCCTGGCATGGCTTGGACGGGGGCTGACCAGGCACAGCAGCCGACTGCCTCCTGAAGACAGTCTCGGACAGGAAGGGCTGCTGGGAAGCCCCAGAACACATCCTGGGCTGAACTGGCTCCCTCCCAATCCCGCCCTCCTCCAAAATGGAGTCTGGCCTGATTCCTCTAAGGAGCGAGTTTTGCAATCATCACTTGCCCCTAACACACTGTGGAACTGGAAGCCAGACAGCAAAGGACTTCAGGTTGGCTCTGGTCCACACGGACGGACCCTGTTTAGGCTTATTTGGCTGAGCTGCTTCTCTGCAGACGGCAGGAGAAAGGGGACAGTGGGAATATGGGATTTCTGTTGAGGAACTGCAGGTGGGCAGGGCTTCACATAGAAGCAGCAGGGACACCCCTCACCAAGCTAACCGGGGGCTCTGGTCATGAGTCACACTCGGGGCATTTGGATAGGCCTGGTAGGAAAGGGGGAGGCACAGGCTCTTCCTTCACCTGGAGAAACATGGAGACCCAAAGGAGGGCAGAGAGGGACCTAAGAACTGGATCAGCTTAGAGCCTCTTATTGCTTAGTCAGAAAAGCTTGGCTGGGCCCAGATGGCAGATGTGGCCCAGGGGCTAACACTTAGGGTGGGGCTTGGGAGAGACACCCCAAGGCATTAGGGCAGAGGTCGAGCCAGGGCCTTAGAATCAGAAGCTCCCATCTTCCTTCAGGAGGTACCCCTCCCTGGCTAGCACCGGAGCCCTCTTCCCCTGCTTGCAGGACCCCGGGGGCCCCGGAGAAGGATACTGGCGGAAAGGGCCACACGAGCTTTGGGGACCTCTGTTCCACTTCTGTGACACCAAAGGGAAAGACCAGGCCCTTTGGCCTCGGGACGAGGAGGGGAGGTGGTAACACACAATGCTGGAGAAAGACGCTCGTCAGCCCAGTGCCACTCAGGACACCAAGCTGCTGCCCTACCGCCCGCTTTGCTCAAAACTCGTCAATTCCTCAGGCCGGACCCAGTGTGGATCCAGTGTGGACACTGCAAAGGGGAACAGGGCTAGGAGTCCTGAGTG